CACCAAATCTATAATCAGCCCAGGCTACCAGTGGTCTAGCACGCCAGACAAAAATTTCATCCCAGGCCTATCTGACACGAGGAAGGGATTGGGCTGCCTTGGGCACCTCATAAAGAATGTCTGCTTTTTCATGTCCCATTATGTGCCCAGAGTTCATTTCTGGATGATCCACACAGCTTTCTCTACCCACTCTTTTCTATCCATCACAGCCCAGAGTGATTTTTGTCCTGTGAACTTTTGTAGTGCCAAACTCCTGTGATTTGTCCTATTTAGATCATGGTTATATATTCTGCCATTCATGTTTGCTTAGCTTTAGGAGCTCATTCTTGAATACCCAAGTAGGTTGAAAACTCCTCCTTCAAGGCGACAAGAACATCTTATATTATTAGTAGTCCCATATTTCAACCTTTTTCAACATCCTGACATGTGATAACTGCTAACTGACTATCTGGGCTGGTTAGACACAGTGGATGTGAAAGGTAAGAAGTCTCTCCCTTTATTGGAATATTGATAGAGATTCAATACCGTAGAAAGTCAAACACCATTGTCCCCTTGGGAAAAGAGATGCAAGCCAAGAAGGGAGCTGCCCAGAATCTAAGATTAATGTGCCAATGATTTTACTTTATTCAGGATCAGGGGTGCATGTATGCAACACGTTTCAAATTCTCTCAATTCCTCTGCCTTTATTTTCATTATTGGGAAGATATTAATAATGAAGAAAATAAAGTGAAATAAGCATTATGACATGTGTGACTTAAAGAGTCGCTTAAAATAGAGTCAGGAGGCTATTAAGTGAGGCCAAAGCACCCTACACACATCTTATGTCCCATCCTCAAAAGCCCTATTGCTAAACCTGTTGCTAAACTCAGCTCAAGACATCCTGGAGCCATAAACATCCTAGAACAACCTCTACATGGGCATATCTGGACTTTCCTTTCTTCCTTATAGGATTCAGCTCCCTCTGTACATATTGGTACTAACCAATCACTGTTAACCTAGGCAGCCTTCATTTGCATGCAAGAATTACATTGTGTGTGCTTGGCCTTGATCAGTCTTGCCCTTCCTTTACTCTGCAGTGCACAGTTTTGGCTGCTACCTGAATCTGTGTCTCTCAGATCTTGATCCTTTGCTCAAATAAATACATTTTTTTACAACCTATATACCCCTTTTTTTTTTCTTCTTTTTTTGGCTAACAATGTGCATACATATATATTGCCTGAAGTAGGCAGGAAGGCTCTTTTTTGTGGCCATACTATCACTAACCTTTGCTTTCCCCCTGGCATTTACCTGAGATCACTTTGCCTTGCAGCCATCAATCTGATATCAGAAAGCAGTGGAATTGGCAAACATAGCATGGGAAACTTTAGGCATTCCTGACAATTCCAGTAGGGGAAGAGAGCCAGCATAAGAATTAATTTTAACACACTAATAGATCTCACACATTGAACCCCACTATCAAAAGAGATCCACCCAGAGAGGAAAATGCCCCTACATCTTTAATTTAGTGACAAACCCCAAACCATTGCTTCATTTGACTCCAAGGGAAGCCATTTTCTTCGAGCGGGACATTGTGGGGAGACCAAGGAAGGGCCTCAGCACTGTCCCCCACTTTGAAGAGGCAGGATGGGCCTCTGTTGTTTTTACCAGAAGCTGCATTCCTCTTCTGCAGGTCCCCTACCTCATTCATCTTAATTAGACAGATGCCTAAATCTTATCTGTAGGTATCAATGCATGGTTTCCTGGCTAATCAATCAGATGTGACCTTCTCTTTCCAAAGCCAGGATTTTTTTAAAAAGAGAAACCACTGATCTGGAATGTTTCAGTACTAAACCTAAATTTACTTTTCTAACCATCAGATCCCTGATCTCTGTAGCAGGATCTTCTCCTGGTAACTGTATTCTATGGCTTCAGGTGTTTGTTTGTTTGTTTGTTTGTTTGTTTTGTGTGTGTGTGTGTGTGTGTGTGTGTTTAAAAAATATATTTTATTGATTTTTTACAGAGAGTAAGGAAGAGAGATAGAGAGCTAGAAACATTGATGAGAGAGAAACATTGATCATTTGCCTCCTGAACACCCCCCCCCCCCAAGGATGTGCCATCAACCAAGGTACTTGCCCTTGACCAGAATCGAACCTGGGACCTTTCAGTCCGCAGGACGATACTCTATCCACTGAGCCAAACCGGTTTCGGCTATGGCTTCAATTTTAAAATTATTTAAATAAACATAAGTAGACAGTGATTCTGATTAAAATAAAAATAAAAACGTGTCACTAATATAAGTTTATTGTAGCATTGCCATTTGTTAAATTCCTTTATTGTCACAGGGAAGTGAAAGCCAATTTTGATGCATGTACACTTTACCTTAATTTAAATACTTCAAAAAAAGCATCAGAGTCTCTTTTCTGCTATGCAGCTCTTTTGCACATATTTCTAATTTCTCTATTGCTTGGAAATTACAGTCCAGGTGGATGCTCCTTCCCTGTTCTTGTGTAAATCCTCTAAAACAGGAAGAGTGAATGTCCAAAAACTATTGCCATACAGTTCTATGAGAGACATAAATAACTGGAAGTCTCAAAACTTCAAATGTAATACTTGCTGGCCAAAGTCTAGTAGGATGAACAAATTTTGGACTTCAATTATTTTAAATATAGAATTTGTTCTAAAGATTTAGGAAGACAGAAATTTTTTTCCCCATATAGCACTACTTAAATTATTGTTAGAAAAAGAACAAAATTTTTGAGTGAATAATTGTTGGATGAGATAAGTCTACCTTATTTTCTCCACCATAGCTCCATCAGCATTACATATGAATAGACAGATCATCCACTGAGTTTCCAGAGTTTTTATACTCTCTGTTTAACTGGTTATGATGCCTACTCTCAACTTAGGTTACAGAAAAACACATCAAGTAGGGGCCTTTTTTTTTCAGTTTAACAATAAATGGCTTCAAGTCACAGAGCTGTCTTTTCATGTTCTTAAACACAGTGAACTTTTCATTACCAACTTTTGCAACATGGTTCTTAAAACAGCAACGCAAACATTCAAAAGGTGCAGTTATGGGAGAGGAGAGTAAGAATGCATAACTTTGCGTGATTGCTGGAAAACAAAACAGACATTCATCAAAAGCTGTGGTACATTTATACAGTGGAATATCATGCAGCTAAAAAAAAGAAAAAAAGGAAGAAAAAAAAAAGGATCTTTTATCCTTTGAGACCACACAGATGGGCCTGGAGATTATTATGCTAAGTGAAATAAGCCACCCAGAGAAACATAAACATCACTTATATGTGGAATCTAATGAACCAAATGAAATCATGAACAAAATAGGTCCAGAGACTGGGAAGCATGGAACCGACTGACAGAAATCAGAGGGAAGGGAAGGAGGGGACAGGAAGAGGTTAACCAAAAAACTTATATGCATGATTCCTAGACACAAACAATTGTGTGAGAAGGCCTAGGGTGGGATGAGACCAGCTGGTGGAGGGAGTCAAAGGGCAGGGGGAGTAGGAGACATCTGTAATACTCTCAACAATAAAAATAACTTTTAAAATATTAGAGGCTAGATCTAACTATAACAAACTTCTTGATCCCGGTCAGGTCACATGGATAGAAATTTACATTCAAACAGAGCACCAAAATAACTTCCCTTCTGGAGGCAGCATAGATTTTAACCTCTTAGCAGGAGTGGCAAGGCTGAAAGCTTAACTTTGAGGGGGCGGGGCTGGAAGCTTGGAGTACTCCACAAATTTAAAGGGAAAGAAGCCAGTTTCCCTTAGGCGCGTGGTGAAAAACAGGCCAGGGAGCAAATGTAACTTTGTACAAGGTTCTCAGGGACTCCCCAGAGATGAGCACCCCAAGCTAGGCTTTAGGGCCCCATCATTTGAGGTCACCGCCACAGACAGTGATAAACCTATCTGGGTCCTCATCGACTGAAAGCCCAGAATTCCTATTTGGAAACCAAAGTTCTGGTCCGGGACAAATCCTGCATAGTGTTAGGACGCGCTACACAGAGCTATTTCCTTATGCAAAAAGGGACCAGGGTGGTGAATCAGGAGGAAAGAGTCTGCATCCTTGGGATAAAATTGCCCATTTCAGGTGCCTTGGGGAATGTCAGCTGGAGCCCGGCCTTACCCTGAGACCCCACCCTCTTTGGTGCCAGACAGGCCAGCCTTCCGTCTACCGGGTCTTTCCCGCACCAGCGCCTATGGGGACCCCGGGGCGTGGGCGCAGGAGGCGCCGGTGCGGCTCTGTCCGCGGGGCCGGGCGCTGGGCTCTGCAGCGCGCACAGCGGCGGGCGAGCGCCTCCCGCAGTAGGTCAGCGGCGCAGCCCAGCCAGCCTCGCCGGCTTCCGGACAAAGAAGTCCGCTCCTCCTCCCACTGAGTCTTTGTTTCTTTGGTGAGTGCTGGCGCCGAGGCGAGCGCGGGTGAAATCGTGCCGTCCTCTCCCGCCGGCCCAGCCTGGTCCTTGCAAGTCCGCTGTCAGAGGCAGCTCCTGGCCGCGGGTTCGGAGCGCGAGAAAGCCAAGCGCGGGCTGTGCTGGGGGTGTCACTGGGCGAGTTTGCAGGGGGCTCCGGGGACACCGCAGCCACAGCGAAAAGCAGACCCTCCCGCCTTTGCCACGGGGGAAGCATTGCCCAGGGTGGAGCGAGGGCTCGCATGGAAGCTGGCAAAGGAGAGAAGGGATGAGCCAGGGGGGAAGTGAACCAGAGAGCCAGGAAGTGGGACGGGGTGAGGAAAGGAGCCGAGTCCTTGAAACTGAAGTCTAACTTCCAGCACGGGGGGCGAGCAGATGCGGGCCGTTACAGTTGGAACGGCGGCTGGGTGCAGTTTATTTTATTATTATTTTTTCTCCCTGAACGACTGAGTCTGAAAGTTTCGCCCCGAAAATCTGGGGAGCCTTGGCGGGAGGAGGCGGTGGCTGGGACTAAACATCCTGGAGCCAGCTTCTCCAAACCCGGGAAGTTTCCCCACGTCCTCTGGCCCAGCCTGGGGCCCCTCCTGGGAGAAGGTGTGTGTGGGAGGGAGGGGGTGAGGGAAGGGGACTGGGGGCGAGATCTGGAAGCCGCAGGCGGAGCCACTGAGCCAGAGAAAAAGCAGCAAGTTATCCTAAGTGTCGCTTCCAGAGGGCAGCGGGAGGCAACGTGGAGGGGGCGGGCCTGCCCCTCCCGCGTCACCCGCGGCAGAACTTGCACTTGACGATCTTCTTGAAGGCGTTCTGGAAGTCCTTGTTGAAGTAGGCGTAGATGACCGGGTTGAGCAGGGAGTTGGAGTAGCCCAGCCAGTTGATGATGGCGCCCAGCAGCCGGGGCATGTGGCAGCTGCTCTCGCAGAAGGGCAGGACCAGGGCCACGATGAAGAAGGGCAGCCAGCAGAGGATGAAGGTGCCCATGATGATGCCCAGGGTCTTCACCGTCTTCCTCTCGCGAGCCAGGGCCATCTTGCGCTTGGCCTCGGCGGCGTTGCGCTCATTTTTATTCTCTAACGGGTTGGGGGCCCAGGGGACAGAGGCCGCCTCGCTCGGCAAGGGCAGGTGCTCTTTGGAGTTGCCCATCAGGTGCACTTCGATCACCTCCAGGGCCGCGCCGTCCTCGCCCTGCCGCACCGCCCCGTTGGCGCACTGAACGCCCCCCGCCTTATGCCCCGCGCCCTGCCCCCACCCTCTGCCCTCGGGCTCCCCGTTGACGCTCCTCCGGGGCGGCGGGGCCGGGGACGCCCCCAAGCGGGGGTGGTCCGCTCTCTGCTTCTTCTTCTTCTCCACCTTCTTGACCGTCTTGCGGATGCGAAAGCGCGCGGCTCGGAAGATGCGCCCGTAGAGCACCAGCATGAGGAGCAGCGGGATGTAGAAAGCGCCGAACGTGGAGTAGATGGTGTAGCCGTGGTCCTTGCTGATGGTGCACGCGTCCGGGTCCGAGCGGTCCTCGGGGGTGCGCCAGCCCAGCATGGGCGGGATGGAGATGAGGAAGCCGATGAGCCAGGTGAGCGAGATGAGCGCGGCGGCCCGCCGGGGCGTCCTCTTGTTCACGTAGTCGATGGGGTCGGTGATGGCCCAGTAGCGGTCCAGCGCGATGGCGCACAGGTGCAGGATGGACGAGGTGCAGCACAGCACGTCGAGGGAGATGAACAGGTCGCAGGTGACCTGGCCCAGCGTCCACTTGTTGAGCACCTGGTTCCACGCGGCCATGGGCAGCACGAGCACCGACACCATGAGGTCGGTGACGGCCAGCGAGCCGATCAGGTAGTTGGCCACGTTCTGCAGGGAGCGCTCCAGCGCGATGGCAGCGACGACGCACGCGTTTCCCAGCACCGCGCTGCAGATCAGGGTGCCCAGCAGCAGCGAGGTGACCACCTGGTAGCTGAAGGTCACGTCGGAGAGGCCGGCAGTGCTGCCGTTTGTCCCGAAGGGACCTTCGGAGGAGAAGGAGGAGGAGGAGGAGGAGGACGTAGTGTTGTTGCCCTGTCGGGGGCTGAGCGCATCCATGCCTGCGCGCCCCCAGCAGGGGAGGGGGGATGGAGCAAGAGCTGCGCGAGGAATCCCCTCGCGCCTCCCCCTGGGGTCGCAGCCCCTTTCTCCTGGGATTTTGGGGGGAGGGGGTGCAGGGGCTCAAGCAGGAAGTTCTTACTGCTCAGGCGAAGGCATCTCGGAGGAGAAACTGCTTCTGGGGCTCCGTGGGCTCCCCGGGTCCAGCGCGTTCGGGAACTCTAGTTGGGGAGCGAGTTGGCCGGAGAGCAGCTCTGAGATCTCAGGGCGACAGAGAGGTGGCCGCCGGAACGTCTGTCCCCCGCTGTTCATTTTACTTTGCCGCCGCCCAGCTGGCTACCGGAGCCGGAGCCTCCCCACCAGCAAACAGTCTCCAATCCTAGAAGTATCTGGAATACGGACACCCCATCCTCCACGGTCGTTATGTGACCCTCCTCGATTCTCTCCCTCCCGCTCTCCCACTCGCTTCTCTCTCTCTCTCTCTCTCTCTCTCTCTCTCTCTCTCTCTCTCTCAAAGCTTCCTCCTTCCACTGGCCTTCCCTTTCAGGTTCCCTCTCCCTTCTCTCACCCTTTCTTCATCCCTCTGTGTGTCGCTTAGACAGCCCGTCTCCCTCCCTCCCACGCCAACCCTCCCTTCCTAATACTTCCCCAACCGAGTGTCTCTTTCCTCCGGCTGCCCGCCCTCCTCTGCCTCTAGCTCAGCAACTTAAGCGTTCAGCCTCTTTTGTCCTCATGCTTCGAACTCGCTCGCATGCACTTGATCTCCTGGTCAGACCAACATTGCAATAAATACTTTTGCCTCCCACCCAGCCAAACTCGAGGGGAAAATTCTAACTATCCATTGCTTTATATTCCTGCCAAATTCCATCATATAAGGAAAGGAGACACTAGAAGTCTGGGGGGGGGGGGCGGGGAGGGAGGGGACAACCCTAGTTCAGTATGTAAATTACGGTAAATTGATGGAATGAAAATGGAGTATCTGCTTTTTACAGACCACCCCATCCATCATTAAACATTTGACTCCCTTGGGGACGATGTTGCCTGTGACCTTTTTTAACCTTGAGGAATGAGGGAGAAAGGAATTTAAGGACTTGTCAAAGACAAATAGCTACATCTCTAAAGGAAAGCACTCAATTCAGTATGTATTTAGAACACACTCACACAAGTCCTCCCAACACCATTTACCTTTTTTTCTTTTTTCTTATTTATTGTTCAGTATTATAGATGTTCACTATCTCCCTCCCCTCCCCCCTTTCTCCCTCTCTACCTAGCCCCTGCCCCACCCTAGGCTATCCCCACACTATTGTCTGTATTTATGGGCTATGCATATATGCATATGTTTTCTTTGATTAATCTCCCCTCCAACTCCACCCCCACCCGCACTTCCAAGATCTGTCAGCCTGTTCCATGCATACTTGTCTCTGGACCTAAATTCAGTGAACATTGCCATTCCCCATAGCTTTGTGGTGAGTAAATTTAGGGAAGGGGATCTTTCACCTGTGTGTTGCGTGGAGTTCGGGCATTTCATATGGCTTTTTGCTTTTCTTACCAGAAAGAAATCTCTAAAGGAGAATTTAGTGGAATCCCTGGTCACTGACCCCTGAGTTTCTCTTAAACTCGGGAATTGGATTCAGCACCTGGGACAGCTCTAGGCAATCAGGACTTATGCCGCCACCTTCTGGCAAAGGCTTTAGAGCGCCATCTAGGAACCCTAGTTATGCAAAAATTCAGCAGGTATTGAAATACCATAACTTCAAGAAAGAGGGGGAAAATGATTATGAAAAGAAAAGTAACATTGAGTCATGTATTTTTATTCTATTTCCTTAAAAAATAGTGTTTTCTTTTGCTCTTAGTCATATACACCACGCTTATATTGTCTAGATCATATTGAAAGCTTGTAGCATCTGTCATTCACAAGTTCTCTCTAGGAATGAGGTTTTATCGATAGTAGACTTAAGCAGACACTTTCTCACCTTCATCTGTGTTGGTTTTGTTCCGACAAAGCCTGTACTCTGGGACTCACACATTTGCACACATTCACCAATGGGGTAGGTGAAGGAGCAATATTGGATTTTCCAAATGGGGATGACTTCACATAGAAAATAAAGAGGCTGCTATTGGTTGGTTCCAAGCTATTTCCTTTATCAAGGAAACCATATTTAATCCCATTTGAACATGGGTAAAGAATTATAGTATATCTAATTAGATAGGTAAATAACAAATTCACTTATACATTCTGATAGCATGACTGAAGTAAAGGAAAAGTTCAGAATGCAATCCCGAAAGCAAATGACTCCAGATAACATGCACAGATTCACTCCAGATAGCAATAGTCTTAATATTTTCAAATTTGAGCTCTGAATTTCATAGCTTTCAATTCTTTTTTTTTTAAATATATTTTATTGATTTCTACAGAGAGGAATGGAGAGAGATAGAGAGTTAGAAACATCGATGAGAGAGAGTCATTGATCAGCTGCCTGTTGCACACCCCCTACTGGAGATATGCCTGCAATCAAGGTGTACATGCCCTTGACCGGAATCAAACCTGGGACCTTTCAGTCCCCAAGCCGATGCTCTATCCATTGAGCCAAACCGGTTTCGGCAGCTTTTAATTCTTTAAGACCAAGCAAAAGAACAATCACCAAAGCATCAAAGAAAATCTAATTGTGCCAATGCATACAATACAGGGCAATGTGTTTGGAGAAGGATGATTTTACAGTTCAGTGCTGGGTAGTTTCCATTTAAACACTTCAGCATGCTGCAGTAATGAACCTGATATTTGTAATGATTCATGGCATTGAAAAAACAGATGAGGATACATGGTGATTCTGTCTATAGACTCTGAAGATTCTTTTAAAATTTTGTGAAGGTTCTCATTCCCCTTTTTAAAATTTCCTGCCAAACACAGAACTAAATAACTGTTAAAATATATATAATCCAAAGATTATAATAGCAAAATAATTAAAATATGGATTCTCCAAAGATAAAATTCTGGAAATATAGTTGATAAATATAAACAAAGAGTAAAATAAATTTAAATTAAAAAAGTAAATATTTGTATAGATACAAGGACATACTTGAATAGGAATTATATCAGATTTAGCACATATAAATAAATATGTCAGTAAATATCTCAGCAATTATGCATTCTTCTAGCAGGTTCCAAATGGTTTAATAACTGACAATTTTTTTCAAGAATGCTAAAATTAATATTCATGAGGACTGGCACTTGCAATTCTATTTTAATATTTTATGATGCAACATTCTTATTCAAGTTGGAAAAAGTTCATGTTCATGTATTCCTTCAAAATAATGTATACAGTATTTCAAACATTTCATTCTTTAAAATGTATAACAAGTTTCTTGGGCATTCTGATGAACAATAGGAAGAAAACAGAAGTATAAAACGATATGCAGCATTAATTATGCTTCCATACCAAATACAGTGACTAATAAGTAATTATGTATAACTTATGTTGAATGATTCTGTAATATATATTAAAAGCAGAATGATGTCGCATTTCACCATGTTTACACTTTGCCAAATCTGCTATGTTAACCTTTTAAATATAAAGAAACACATATAAAAAAATGGTGCAAGCCAAAGATTCTGGATAAAGAGTTAGACTCTGGTTCTTTAAGGCCTCTGAAATCAGCCTAAAGAAAAATTAGCCTTAAAGCAGATATTATTGGTGACATCATTTGAAATCAGGACTTCCAGTCATTCTGCTTTTATTTCTTGTTTGAATTTACTAGATGCAAGTATGAACTTGTCAGTTATGGATCTAGAGTATGATATATCATCCATCATATAAAATTTCTCTAATGTAGTTTATGGGAGATAAAGATTTTTAACACTTTTACAGGAAATTTTATGTAAGGCCAGAATTGCATTGTAGTTCTTTGACATAAAGATAAAAAGATATTAGGCTAAAGTTTTGCTGAATGTCCTATCATTACTGAAGTCTCAGGAATGGTTGGGGTTTCTCAGTAACTGATATGTTTATCCATAATCCCCAAATTATGGCTAATTTATTAATGAGTCAGTAACCTATAGAGTAAAGAGTTGAAATTTTACTTAGGAGATTACAAGAGTAACTTAAAAGTTTCTATTTAAGAAGTTTTTACTTTCCTTCAAGTAATTTGATTAGGATAGGTTATTTTTAAAACTAAAAATACCATTCTGAATTTAATTCTCCTCAATCCTCAAATGCTAAAGTAATAGGGCAAATACAGTTTTACCAGCACTGTGAAATTTTACTGGAATTCACCAGGAAAACAAACCTTAAAGAGAAATGCTTGCTTAAATAATTTAGGAAATGCAGTCTTTTTATTACTAGTGAGAATTAACTGATCATTTATAAGAAATGCAAGCAACATGCCAGAGAATAAATTCTCCTTTAAACCTAAACATGCTCTTTGTGTGTGTGTCTAATCCTCGCTATCCACTTTCCTCTGATGATACTATTCCTTCATTGCTATTTCTATTCGATCAGGCACTTCTCAGAGGCTCAGAACTGGGTTTTCAGTGGGAAAAGACAAACAGAAGCCTCAGTCGCTGCTTCTGAGAAATGTAACAGTGGCTTCGTTCAGTTAACACTCATGCTAAAAACACAGCAGTTAGAAAGCGAAGGCAATGTAACCATGTGTTCACTAGGTGTGTGACCTTGGGCAGGTTATTTGATCCTTTTGTTTTCTCAGTAGTAAAGTGGGTGTGATAATAGACTTGTGAAGATTAAGTGATTTAATACACTGCTAGCCCATAATAAATACCAAATAAGGTTAAACAATAATAGTAATAATAGTGAAAAAAAGTAATAATATTCTCTCTCTACTGATAATTTCTGAGAAATGTAGAGAAAGAATTATGTGGGCTTAAAGGAAAGAACCAGAGCTTAAAAAATAAAAAATAAATAGAAAAAACAGTTAAGGCCCTTTCAGCTGAAGATTTATTATGAAAACAATTTGCACATGAATATGACATTCTTCCTGTTTCTTAAAGTATTTGGAAAATTTTCTAGGCAATTCTGAGTACAAGACTAGTGAAAAAAGATGTGACCTCTGCATTGTGGAACTTCTTTTTTTTAAAAAATATTTTATTGCTTTTTGGGGGGTGACATTGGTTAATACAATTATATTGGTTTTGTGGGGTGGAGTAGGATGTTACACCCACCTCCTCCCAGGACCAAACTGGAACTTCTTGACTTAAAGCTTTAATCACGGGACACACACACACACACACACACACACACACACGCGTGTCAACAAAGGTTTAATAATCAGTATTGGATAGTAGGATAGTAATCTGCCTTTTTTTCTAGGAGCACAACCTATTGAACTCCTAGAAAAGCATAAAATAAGTAATTATATAAAATAAATAATTAAAATTCATAGGTTCCCAATAAAATGTTTAAAAGTACAGTAAAACCCAAAAATAGTATTTCTGTTGTAAGTAATTATCA